TTCTAAATACATAAATGAATAAATTTCAAGCATAAAATAATTTAATTGAAAGATGCGTGAGGTGGAACAAATAGTTGATATTATTGGTGTATAAAGGCATGGACCTTTTTGCTGTACGACGTCTTATTTGGGAATTAGAGATGCAGTGATGATTGTGAAGGAAGGCGATGGAGTCCTTTGTAATTCGTCTACAGCTGATTTCAGGGGTGGTGCCAATCATTTTGTAGGAACATGCGCAACCTTGCTAATTGTATTATTATGGAAGGCATACACAGCTGGGTACAGTTTTGTTGATACGCATTGTACGTGCAGGTATATTATAAGTGGAAGGTGTTATTATTATGCCCGTTGATGACTGATTTTATTACATCATTTTGCTCGCTTTGCTTCTTGTAGTCCTATACAGGTACCACATACCTCAACATTCTGCTAATTGTAATATAAATGTAAAATGTTTCCTTCCATTAAAAACACATACGATATTGGAAATGATAGTGACCCTCTCCATCCAGCATTCTAAATGACAGGCAACATGAATGTTGAAATGGCATTCCTCACTTCATAAATAAAAATCTGTCGGATAAATTTTCCCGCGCTTTCGCTGCCGTAGCTGGATCCACCAGGCATTTACATGAATTTCCTCTGCTGCGTTTTCACCTACGCCTTTCACTATCATGCAGCTAGTAAATTAACTGTCATCTGAAATGAGGAATGTGGGAAAGGTGCAAAGTGCTCTTAATCAATTTATGTTTGATGTTTGGTTCTCGAACTCGAAGTGAAATTTAATTTAAATCGTAAACGTATTGCAAACACAATTGCAAACACTTTCGAGAAATCAGCTCAATGGTAATTCAAATAACATGTTGTATTGCCTAGAAAGTGGTTCTTGGAGTAGTCAACACGGTTGCAAAGGCTTTCGAGAAATCAACTCAAACAAAAAAGCATATTTTATTGCCAAGAAAATAATGCTCGGAGTAGTTAACATGATTGCAAAGGCTTTCGAGAAATCAATTCAATGGTACTTTAAATAGCATATTGTATTGCCTAGAAAATGGTTATTGGAGTAGTTACCATTATTCCAAAGGATTTCGAGAAATCAATTCAATGGTAATTGAAATAGCATATTGTATTGCCTAGAAAATAATGCTTTGAGTACACGATTACATAGATTTTCGTGAACTCTAGGACACTTTTTATATCTTTTCCAGTAACTTTGATATGTACATCCCATAGAAATCATGTTGTTTTGATTACGTAATTAGATTACGTAATCATAATTATAATGTTTGTACATTTCAGGTAGTGCACAAGGATATTGAAACTGCCTTGTGTTGATATTTTTTTCAAAGAAAGCCTTAGATTTCGATCGTGCTTGAAGTTACTCCAAGAAATGATATTTGATTCTCTTTAATAGTGTATTTAAAATATGAGAATTGGATTACAGCCTTCACAACGACGTGCATCCTGTATTCTATGTCTGTAACTATGGTAATCACAGTATTGATGTCATATTGCTGTTTCTCGTATATGAACACAAATTCAGTGAAATAATCGAATTTCAGATTTCCCTCATAGATTTTTATTCACCCCAAAATATTCCCTTTAAACGCAGATAATTAAGATCATTATGTAAAAAATTACTATCATTTCTTATTATTTTTCACGAATTGAATGAATAACGATTCACTCTTGTTCTAAAAAAATTCTTTTCTTAAATCAATATTGATTGAAGAATATTATTGAAATTACGCTTTCAGTAATATTGTACGTGGCCTTCCACTTCCCCTTCCCCAATTAAATCGCAAGCAAAGTAACATTAAATCATCTTCTTCCTCAAAAAGGTTTAACTTTAAAAGATGCAGGCTTGTCATGATTATATGGCTTGCGACATTTATGAGAGTTTCGAAAATAAAACATTGAATGATAAAATTGATGTTACTGGTCTTTTAACGCCGGAGGTCGTAAGTTTAGTAATCATCCGAGTCATATGGCATTCTGTGACAAAACAAGAAGTGGATGATAAGACACGTATGATACACATTCTCTTAGGCAGTGGCGTATCTATAGACATTGATGTAGGGGCAGGGGCGGCCGAGCGACTTCCAAAGTGGGGGGGCACCAACAAAAAAGGGCACTTTCTGGAAAAAAAAGGCACCTACATTGGGAAATCTCAAAGCGAAAATATACAATTTTTTAGACATTGGTTTATACCCCTACATTGTGATTACATTATCAGGGATGATTTCATTATTTAAAAGTTTCTCTTCATAAATCATACAAGATATCGCTTAAGCATCATACTGTACAGTTGGGTGTGATGTCTGAATATGCATTAACGAGCGAGCGAAGCGAGCGAGAAAAAATTTAAAGATCTGTGAGGTCGCAGTGCGAACAATTACATCTTATAAAGAGGAAAAAAACCAATCGTGATGGGGTTATAAGCACATTCTCATAACGGAAGACTGAAAAGACCTTTGATAAGTAACATAATTATATAATCTTTAAATAAGAGCGAGCGCAGCGAGCGAATTTTGGGGGAAATTGCTCTTAGTAGCCCTAAATAAGGGGCACGTTTAATGATTACATGAAAAGGGGGCAATTATCGAAAGGGATAAGACACTTATTAGAAAAAAAAAGGAGCACGTGTCAAAGTACAAAGGATAATTATAAGAGGTGAAAATGAGGCATTTTTACACCTGAAAAGAGGCACTCACCAGTGATGAAAAAGAGGCGTTTACGAAAATGGGAAATAGGCATTGTTGACGGAAAAGGGGCGCCCATCAGATTTTGATAGTGGCATTTATAAGAGGTGAAAAGGGGATAGGTCCCTTATTAGAAAGAAAGGGGCACGTATCATTATTAAAAGGGATATTATCAGAGGTGAAAAGGGACACTGACCAGATATGAAAAGGGGCACTTATGAAAATGTAAAAGGGGCACTTATAATAAAGGAAAATGTGCATTTGTTGAATGAGAAGGGGGCACCGTTCAGATTTTTAAAAGGGGCAGTTATGAGAAGGGGAGGGAGCTCTTTCTTTTTAATGGGGGCACTTATCATAAGGAAAAGGGGCACTTATTAGAAAGGGAAAGGGGTTGTTATGAGAAGGGGAAGGAGCTCTCTCTTTTTAATGGGGGCACTTATTGTATTGTATTTATTAACCTTTATTTCCTTCTCAACAGTACAGTATGAAACACAATGTATATATACATGATACATGTAACAATTATTTCAACATAGAGTATACAGTAAATAATTCAGATACGGAAGGAGGCGAAAACCTTATCATAAGGAAAAGGGGCACTTATTAGAAAATAAAAGGGGCACATGTTAAAATGAAAGGTGTGCCCATCCGAGTTTAAAAAAGGGGTAGTTATTAAAAGGAGAAGGGGTACTTCTTACAAAGCAAAAAAGGGGCAGTTGTCAAAGTAAAAGGAGCACCTCTCAGTTTTGAATAGGGCAATAATCAGAGGTGAAGGGGGCACTTATCAAAAGTGAAAAGGGGCACTTCTCGTACCTTAAAAGAGGCACTTACTAGAGATTAAAAATGGCACTTATTCAAGATAATTTCGAGATTTATGAGAATGGAAAATGGACACTTATTGCAAAGGAAAATGGGAACATGCCGAAGGAAAAGGGGCACGTGTCAAAAATAAAAAGGGCACTCGTCAGAGGTGAAAAGGGGGAAGGGGCACATTTAGTAAGTAATAGGGGCACTTGTCAAAGTAAAAGGTGCACTTTTCCTATGTAAAAGGGGCACTACTTACAAAATAAAAGGGGCACTTTTCCTATGTAAAAAGGGGCACTTTGGGGGTATCTGAAAAAGTGGGGGGGCACTGTGCCCCCCCTGCCCCCCGGGAGAACCGCCTCTGTGTAGGGGGGGGGGGGGAGGGTCGGGGTCGGGGTCGAAATGCATATGTGCGTAAGACTACTGTAAGATTGTTTGCTTTTTCTGTACCTTGGGGTAGGGTGAGTTAAGGAGTACGCGGCTCGAAATTTGAAATAGTGCGAAAGTCCTATTTATAATAATTTTCAATATAGCCACACCCCATGTCATCTTATTGCTGAAATCTTGTGAACATGTCGCTCACGCATAATTAAGCGGGGGAAAAAAAAGAAAAAAAAAACGTAAACACTTATACATAGTTTACTACCAGATTGCAAACTTCAAGTAAAGTACCTCTCATCTAATGACATTAATTTGATTTGGATCCGAAACCGTTGGACATATGCGTGTACCTAATCAGCACATGTACAATAATAAGATGAAAACAAATCGGGCGATTCTGTTCTAATTTCAAAACCTAACCTGATTAATCACTGTCCATTAAGCACCGCATGTTGGGAAAGTAGCTGGACAGAACGTGTTTGTCATGTCATTATGAAGACAAATGGATGCGCTACTGTTTCTAAACTGTGATCAATTTGCCGCCATCTTGCCCGCTCTGTTTCCAAGACTCTCTTTTTTCCCCCGAGCCTGAGCTGAAATGCATGCAATCGGTCAAACTATAGCCATACAAGCGATGTAAGTTCAGAGACAGGACAGTATTTGTATACGGTATACATTCACTCTTCACCACCACTTTCATCATTCTCAATAATTATTCTTGCCGGTGTAGAGTTTCTTCTTCTTCAAAACAACATAGTAAGCTGCTGAGTGTGTGTGTGCATGTCACCGAATTTCCGTAAGCGTGCTATACTGTATATTTCATGATTAATTTCATTCTGTATCATTTTTTTAAAACTCTCAGTTAATGTATTGAAATCTGTCAATTTTTATTATTATTGTACTTGCTCTAATTATTCAAAAGTTATTATTATCATTATTCAATGTTATAATGTATCAATTGACTTAATCATCAGTGCTTAATATTCATTTGCTTATTTCTATTTCTGTATATTAATCAATAGTGTGAAAAAGAGATCGGGGAAAAAAAAGTTTTTATAAGAGAAGACATAGTGATCATTAAACATCGTCAAATTGGCACCTCTTTTCATTCAGATTCACCTTGAAGCAGAGCTCGATCTCTTTATCAAGATGGATGGCTTTGCCGATCTGATGATCAACGAGACCAATGCGACTTCCGGTCCAGTCGTTCCGGCATGTTGGCCTGTTCTCATCGACCCTACTACTACGGAACTTCTTGATGGTAAGTTTTAAATTTGGTCTAAATATTGAGCGATTCTCTATTAAGTCGATTGTGAAAATCTTAGACGTAATGATGCAGAGATCGTATATTTTAGCCCAGCGACGCACGGCTTTATTATATTTTGGTAAGACATTAATCTACACTTGCCGCCCCTCACCCAGGAGAGTATGGTTACACATAATTTTGTTCGCATGGTTTGGAAAAAATAAATGATGGATTTGCTTTGTTTGACTTTAAGTTATCAAAATTGTATTTTGTATACGTTATTTTTTAAACATATTATGTAGGAATCAATATGTAAGCATGGAATTGTATTTTGTTTTAGCTGTATTGTTAAGCGAATAGAAAGACACTCACTTCTATTTTGCGCTTTAAAATCCATCTTTATTATTATTACGTGACTTAATTAATGGGACGTGTACAATCTTGAAATCGTGTTACATATGTATACATAACTATGTTTACAAGGCCAAAACTTACTTTCTCCTGATAAAAGTCACGTGACACGCTATGAGGGATAATATCAGAGATCACTTTTAAAATAATTTAGTGGAATTCACTTTTTAAAAGATTTATTGAACCACCAGTTTGGAGCAAATTGATCTTTAAGTTGGACTGGATTCAGCTTAAAAGGAATTGATCCCTGATAAAATATTACGACTGAAACAAAGTGGATTAAGAGAGTGATGTCACTTTCAACTTGGTTTTGGAATTCTTAATCGAAATAATGATAAGATCATTTCATGACCACCATGATTTCAGGACGATTTACGAAAAAAATGAAGTCAAACAAGTTTCGCGCAACTACATTTCTAATGCTTTTCTTAGTGAAAAAGAAATAAATAATTAGTTTATTTTCATTATTCCAATCCTTTCAGGTGGGACAATATTTAAAAACTATTTTAAAGTACATCTGGTTGAAAGAGATAGGTTTATATGCATTGCCCCGTCAACCATGATCTATTGACCTTATTTTATGCAACATTAATTTAGAATCTGTTTGTGTAAATTCATTCGAATGATGCGAGGAAGAATACATTTCCGTGGCAAGTGGACAACAACGTTTTTTCCATGTCATTCCTTTGTAATCATAACGTATTCATTTCAAAATTTCCCGGAAAAGGCGCAATAACAGAAAAATTGTGAAAAAGGTCGGGAAGTCTTTATTTATTCATTATGAACATGGAGGTGCATTGTTAAACTAGATATCTATTGCTTCCTGTTGTATAATTACAACTGATTCCCTTGGCTTTTAACCCAACTAAGTCTGTTTAAATTTGTTGTTGCGTGTTTTTGCTTTTGTTTTGTTTGTGTTGGAGGTGGGAGGAGGAGGACTCTTAAGAAAATGTATCCCAAATGTAATTGAAAACAAAATACTCACGCAGAACAGAAATCGAAAGAAACACATTTTGAAAAGTGACAAAGGCAGGGTATCTTCAAGATCTGTGATTGGCTTGCATTTCTGCCGTGGAGAACGAGAAACAGAAAAAGCAAATCTGCTACTTAACTATACCTACTTACAAAATAGTCTGTGAATCTTTTTGCAATGACAATGATGTTGATCGAGGTGATGATGATGACGATGATGATGATGATGATGGTTATGGTAATAATGATGATGGTGATTATGATGATGATGATGATGATGATGATGACGATGAAGATGAAGAAGAAGACGATGACGACGACGACGATAGTGGTGATGAAGAAGAAGATGATAACAAGAATAACTCCTAATTCATTTTGTCACCCTTGCAGCGCTGGGCGGCAACTCCAAATTCCTCGGCGTCATGGGCACAGCCATTGCCCTGACAGTCTTCAATGTAGGCATGTACATGGAGACTCTATGGTTCCTCTGCAGAAAGATCCCAAGCAGAAGGAAAATACAACTCTCATTCATCATGGGTATATATCCAGTAAGTAAATTTAAGCACCCCCTCTGCCCCTCCCCCGATCCTCCCCCTCCCCGCAAACTCCAGCTAACCACACCCTTTAACTTTGTTGTACATCCTTTAACCATACTTCCATCAGTTAATATTTGAAAACTTTAGAAATTTAAACAATCGTGAAGCAACAATTTGCAAATTCTTCACGGTAGCTGAGACAGTCATTCTATGTTGTGAAAATATTTTTCCATTTATTAATCAAAACTGATAGGACGAAACATACGCTCAAGAATTACATTCACAACATCAGTCAAAATTAATATCTGTACATCAGATTGATATAATTTATTATCTTGTAACTCCCCTTACATGTTTTTTGTAAACAGTTATTGTAAACTAACCACGAAAAATGTTAATCAGTTCTAAATACACACCACACCCAAAACCCACATCCACACGCACACACACGCACATGAAAGATGAACTTCGTTATCAGAATAAAGTGGAATAGGGAATCATGAAAATTCATACACTTGCAGAATTCTTGATAGTTGTTTTTCATTTTCTTCGATTATTTTAAAAGATGTGCCACGTAGAAAACTTCCTGGATATGCAATTAAATAACATACGTATTTGATTTCCATTTCCTCTGGTGTGTCTTGTTCACAAACACATTAAAAAGTATGGGTATATTCTATTTGTACATGTAATACATTTTGATCAGCACAACACATTTCACACTCAAATAGTGCATTTGGGGTAGCAGTAATCCCATTTATTCAAATTGTGTTTTTACAGGCCTGTTATATTGGTATATTCATGCTGCGTTAACGATGCCTGAATGTATACAAATTAAATCACATTGTATGATCCTTGAAATGTCTATTGTCTACTCGTTATAACAAAATGTTTGCTTATAAATTCAAGTGATTATCAGAGGGAGAAAAAGGAAGAGAGAGAGAGAGAGAGAGAGAGAGAGAGTCACTGAGTCATTATGTAAATGAAATAAAGTTTCCACTTTTCACCTCACCTTAAAGCTGCCCCTATGGGGTGCAACATTGAATCGTTTAGGGTTCCATATGTAGTTTTTATATTTTGTTTGTCTGGCCGATGTATATTTGCACTTATGTGGTTCAATAACATTCTACACCCTTGTTTGGCTTTATAAAGGATACAGAAAGGGTGTAACACATGTGCTTCTAAAGATTCAAATTTGCCCTAAGTTTAGGGATACTGCTATTAACGCCTTCGGGCGTAAAATCGAATCTCTTTCATTATTGACCTTAGGAAAATTATTTAAGGACACTGAGTAATAATCAATTATTACCCTTTTTAACCATTCCTTTTTATTTCAGGTTTTCTCCGTCACTTCTCTGCTAGCTATGTTCATACCAAGAGCTTCGATTATCACAGGGTTTACTGCTCATGTGTAAGTTATTAGTTAAAAAGCGCCATTTTGATTATTATATTTGTTTATTTTACCTGTGGTATTTAGAAGTGAATGTAGTGAACTAGATGTAGAGTAGTGCACCTGAGAAATGAGATCGAGCTGTTCAGGAAATAAACATCAGATAATTTCACTAAAGGAGAAAGCGAAAGAGCAAAAAAAGGAGAGAAATGGACATACATAAATATAAATCTCTTGCAAGTTAGCAAGAGAGAAAGAGAGAGAAAGAGGCAGACGTACGGACAGAGACAGTGACAGACAGAACAGAGAAAGCGAGAGAGAGACAGACAGACAGAGACAGAGAGACTCAGAGAGAACAGAGAGAGAGAGAGAGACAGACAAAAAGACAGAGATACAGAGAAAGAGACAGACAGAGACGTAGAGGGAGAGAGAGAGAGAGAGAGAGAGACAGACAGACAGACAGAGAGAGGCAGATAGAGAGAGGGAGAGAGAGATAAGAAAAGATAAACGTTGATGGAAAGATAGATCAGGGGACACACGACATAATCACAATCGAGTTATTGTTTCCATAACCCCTTTCAAATCATGCACAAATTTCCACATGTTCTTCTCTTTGACAGATACTTTTCCATGGCCCTTGTTCAGTTTATTATGTTGTTGACTGGTTACTATGGTGATAAAGCGAAAATGTTAAGGATATTGGATGGAAATATCATTCCACTGGCCACGCCACCTCTGTCGTTGTTCTGTATTTGCTGCCTGCCAAAGATTCCAATCAATAAGTAAGCACGGGTAGATATTTAAGAATATATATAATACAGTGCGTCCCAGAAAAAACGAAACCGAGAATTATCGATGTTTTATCATAATTTAGTCACATTTATTATTGCCTTTTCATATGACACCTCAATCAGGAAAAATGAGCAAGGAATGACAAAGTTCTGTTTGTTTAAAGTAGTGCTTGCATATCCATAATTTTATCAAACGAATTCGTTCTCACTGGGCGCCTGCCATAGCAACATGCAGAATTGACAACAGACTTAACTCCGTTTCGTTGACAATCAGCCATGCATGAAACCTTTCGTTTTCTGGGACGCACTGTATACAACAACAATAACGGTCATTTACAGCTTTGTTCTGCGATCTCCTTCACCAAGCTAAGAAAATATTGGTGATAACTGAATGGAATCTGGCTTGACATTTGCATTTGAATAATGAACTTCACATGCAATCTAGTGTAGGGTGATCAAAAACAAAAACTGAATGTTGATTTGAGTTTCGATTTTGAATCCGTTATTCATCGTCAATTACATAACGAAAACTATCTTGTCAATCATGACATATGCTTAACTTGCTACATTGTTGATCATTGACATGTTTCCTTTTCGTAATGCCGCCATTATTCCCGTAAATTAATGAAGATTATTTCAATTCATTCCATACTGTTTTTCGGGTGGATTTCTTTTCTTTCGTTCAAGCGCCATGAGCACCGAAAGGTGGACCTGTGCGCTATACAAGTAGCAACTATTATTATTATTATTATTATTATTATTATATTCTAGCTGTAAATTAACTCTCAAAAAAGTTTCTTTTCTTTATTATACTGTTGACGAAAATCCATTTTATGTTTTATACAAAAGACATATCTATAAACCTATTATTTGATGCTCTTTTGTCATAGCTTAATCCTTGCTATTGTTACGAATAACATTATTGCTAACGCATTATGTTAATGATGAACATATTTTATTCGCACTTCTTCAAGGGTTACCCTTCCAAAGTTCGTGAAGTTGATTCGTGGTCTGGTGCTACAGGTAGCCGTCATCAAACCTCTGTTCTACTTCCTGGGTGCTGTACTATGGCTCAACGGATCCTTCATTCCTGGAGATGTAAGTCTGAATTAGCACAATTAGGCCTAAAAAAAAAGATGTTGTATTGCCCTTTGCGAACGACCCTAAAATCTTGAAATCTATGTATAAGTCATATAACTGTCTTGTCATGTTTTGTGCTGAAAGCCAGAGGACCGTACCTGCTCATAGACTTTCTCTTATATAGTCTTGACGCCCTTCTGGCTTTCAGCACACGACACCATGTTTTTGTCTTATGTTTTATGTTTTACATGTTATACCAATGGAAAAAAAAATTCTGTATTATATTATGGACAATAAAATCTTGAATCTTGAATCTTGAATCTACGGTCGGCTTTTTAAAAAAGTTTTTTTTACCGTTTTTTAGAGAAAAAATATATTTAAGCATTCATGAGAAATATCAGCCCAAAGAGGGAGAAGAAAATAGAAGAAAAAAAGTAAAAAAGAAAGAAAAAAAGAAGAAAAGATTTCCGACCGACGGACCCATGTTTTGGCACCTAAAGGGCAATACAACATCTTTTTATAGGCCGTACATAAGCTACATTTATTTTCATTTACTTTTTGTAGGTGCCAAACAAGTATTTTTTTATCTCTGTTAGTAGTATACAAGCAGAAACATATTACTAGTACATCAATGAGATAGTTGTGAATGGTAAATCAGGAATTCTTGGAAGGAGGGGGGGGGGGGGGGTGGAGGGCTTGTGCTCGCAGTCTCTGAGGACAGGTTTTTCCTTTTGGAAGATCCAAACAGTGAAGTCGAATTTTGCTTTTGAGACCAGATCAAAAGTTGATATCTTGGTCATGCTCACATTACATAAACACCCAGTCTGTCAAACAGAGGGTGCGTTGATAAAGATTGCCTTTCGAACCTTAGGAGACGTTGCATCTTGATGCAGCCTTCACTACCCCCCCCCCCCTCTCTCTCAATAATCAAAATATCAGGTCCGTTTATATCATTTATCAATTTTTTTTTCTCTCCACAGTTTTCAAGTACTGGCACATACCTGTGGTTCAACGTCATCTATATCGTTTCAACGCTGTTCGCCCTCAACGGCATCATCATCTTTTACAAGTTATCGAGGGAACCGCTCAAGGAGTACCATCTCACTCCAAAGTTCTTCACCGTCCAACTCACCCTCATCCTCACCAACGTCCAATCTTTCACCATCGGCCTCTGCGCCATCGCAGGGAACATCGCCTGTAAGCCACCCTTCCACCCCGGCCTGAGGGCGCTGTGTAAGTACAACCATTTATTTTCCTTGATCCTTTCGTGAACTTTCCAGTTGACAAAGGTGTCACACACATTGTTCTAATTTCGGGATCGCCTGTTAGATAATTTCATATCAACTTTCTTGATTTCCTGTAAAAAGCCGATCCAAGATCATATCCTAGAGATAGTGTGTCTCTTTGGGTTGGTGACATTAAAGATCTCAGACGTCAACAGAGTCAAGGAAAGTCCTAAAAGATCCAAGCCCGTTCGGTCAGTCTGTGTAAAAGGTTATTACGAATGACTTAAGGTTATTAACCAACTAGGATATTCTTATTTCTCTGTTGTAACTGCGGGTAATTTTTCGTCACGGTTTGGGCTTGTTGATGTGGGAAATTACGAAACACGCACGACATGGTAGGTTTTTTTTCTTTCTAATTCTTGATGTTGTCTTCTTTTACAGATATCGACAGTCTACTCAACATCGTCGAGATGTTTCTCTTCAACATATTTGCCACGGTCTGGTACAGGAGACTGAAAGGCAACATAGGACAGGAACAACTTCTTGAGAGGCGAGAGTACGCCAGACTGAGCCAGAACTCGTACCGCCGAGACCCGGCCCAACAGATCGCACTCGGCGACGAAAACGACAACAAAACCGACCTCGCGCTTTACAAACCTACGTACCCAGACGCCACCGGCATTGTCACCAGACAAAATGGCGGATCCTCTGTGCATGCGCAAGGAGTCGGAGATACGCCGTGGCAGCAGTTTGGGGATGCACCCGCGGAGAGTGAGCTGAAGCAACCCTTTCTTCATGTTGCTGCTGATAGCCAACCGAACGGGAGTGTTGCATGTAGAGTGACCGACGAGACGTTGAACCATCATCAGTCACCGCCGCACAAGAACACTGTTGACGATACCGTCGAACGAGGCTCCATCAAGTCAGGGTCGATTCCTTGGAGTGGTTCCGGGTCAGACAGGGAGACGGACGTCTAAGTTCAAAGGTTACCCAAAGACTGAGGACTCTATTAAAAGTATTTTCGTGTATGACCAAAGAGTATCTCTTTGGTATGACACAGTGGTTGCAGAATATAATCGCTAGCCATATCAGCATTATAATTATGCCGCTCAAGTTCGTGGTGCTCGCGAATCATGACATTAAATATATGTAAAGTATGATATCTGATTATGCAAACTTCTGTCAAATCTCATTATCAATATTTTTGAAAAAATGTTTAGAATTCCATGACTCTTTTTGACACAGAATTTACTCTATTTGTGTCTTATTTATCTTATGGCCAAAATAATATGAAGTTCCCGTCATGACGATGATAATGGCTTAAATTGGCAAATGGTTGTATATTTGTAATAACATTCACTTTATTTTATGCTATCTATACCAAAGATCACTTACGTAAGCTATCAAGTATTGTCATCAAATTTTGTAGTTTCTAAAAAATGTCTTTCTTGATTGAAACCAATTATTGCCAATGCAAGAACAAAATCTACCATGATAAATGTTTTGAGTTGTACGCTACCCATTTGCGATTCTCATCTTCAGTTCTACATAAAGTGCGATTGACTCTGTCACGATTATGACCAGAACGTGAGCGAAACAGAGCTACGAATAAAACATAACCAATGTTTGCCTTTGAAACATTAAACTCGAAAGGATCAATTTGAGGAGAATCAAATTTTGTTGTACTTTCACATTCCTCATTATTACTATTATTACTATTATGTTTATATTATATAAAGATATTAATATTCATATCTTATCTAACACTTTCATGTTCTAGAAAGAGGGTGACTTGTGTTTACTTTTTAAAGAGGCCCGGCCCTTGTAAACGGCTGTTATGCAGTAGAATATTTATTTTAGAATCTCATGTAATACGACATTTTATTATTACATTTATCATCACGCATCCGTTTTAAATCGGCATTGATTGCAAGATTTGTAACAAGAGGCTTTTAGTTCAACAATGACAAATTACAGAATACTCCACGGATTAACTTCGAATAGCCGACAAGTGCAAATACGATTGTATTTTTTCAAATCATTTTTTTTTGTCAAAAAAGCGCATTTTAAAATTTGTTGACATGTATTATGCAGCAAGTCTATTCAGATTGCTATAATAGTAATACGCTCTAACACTACGCGAATTGCTTGGAGAAAGAGCAAACCATGATCCGTGTTTAAATCTTTAAAACGACGATTTGTATGTGAATTAAGACCTTGTTTGATTATTTCTCCTTTTCCGCGCGTTTTATATGCACGAAAAACAAGCTTCTCTCTTCAGTAATATTATCACATTGAGGGGGAAAAGGTAACTAAATATCCTCACAGAGGGGTGAATATTCGAAAGCTGAGTATCTTGTCAAAGAATGTCATGCACTTGTGTTGGATACACCTGGATATCTTACGTAACATAATCACTCACTGAAGTGCCTTATATATAAACTAATGATGTCTTTTTACCCGTCGCAATTATAATATCGCCATTTTGTACGTCTGGCAAACAAAATTAATGCACTCAGTGGATTTTATATCGAGACATTTTATGTGCTTTATCATATTTTGTGTTAGTCCTTCGTTTACGACATGATGAATGATGAATGATGGTGAGTGTCAAAATAATGGCAGTAATATTCTTTTGAGCTTCGGGGTTTCGATAACTTATACATTTTTTTGTCAATGTTTCTAAAAAGATACGTTTTATATTTTAGCTTGTCATCATTTTTATGATTATAATTCCATTCAGAATAAACCAAATAAATGTTATGATTGTTATGTTGACCTCGTCGTCATTGAAATCTGAATTCTTTTCATATTCATTGTGTTTGATTCTCCTCTTTTCTAAAATCATTTATACATCTCCCATTTATCACTTCCTAAATTACATTTAATGTATAGTGGTGGTGGAGCTATGGGAAGGGAGAACATGCCCCCGTCTCATGGAAGACAGAGAAAGAAAAAAAAGAAGATATAGAGAGAGAGAGAGAGAGAGAGAGAGATGGGAGAGAGAGAGAGAGAGAGAGTGGAATGAGGAGAGGGAGAGAGAGAGAGAGATGGGAGAGAGAGAGAGAGGGAGAGAGGGGAAAAGAAAGATGATAAGTACTAAAAATAGGGACATTTTCCATTTGTTAATCACTATAACGCGTCATATTTTTCTTCTTTGAGTTCATAGAGTCAAATCCTAAAATAATCAACATCATGATGTAGTTTTTTCCTCAAAGCCTTAAACATGATTTTTTTTTCTCGTTTGTTTATTAATTTTAATTGTTTTTTATTAATAAAAATTGAAGACTTAAAAAAAAAGAAAAAACGATATGATGTAAACCATAGTCATAATCGTAATGCATTATAATGTTTTAAACTGAAGATGGCGCTAGACCTCGTAAATCGCTGATATGTCTAGGATATCGGTAGCGTTAAGCCATTTCACGGTTGCAGTCTGAGCATTTAAGCAGATAAAGGTCTTTAATGCAGAACAAATTTTGAAATACACGGAGACGAAATACTGGATACGTGCTCATGAAAGTTACGTAATCATTATTCATTCATGCACAAGCAGTACACTCCATGATACACAGGTGGAAATATTCTTTGAAAAGGGGAAACAAAGGCTATTTATATAGCACCTCCATCGCTGTAGGAGTGATTATTTCAAAATATACAGAGTGGGACCTCTTCATGTTTTGGAGATCTGTGGATATTCAGGGTCATTGCAATAGTGTGCTAACCGTGAACTCGTCTAATCTACCGGAATACCCAAACATAACAAACAGCAATAACAAAACCCAATAACAATGATAACTAGGTTTAAATTAATTTTTTTCACTTGCTTTTATTTATATTAATCTTTATTATGGTACCCAAAATGATGATTGCAATGTCAAGCATTAATTAGGCTTGTTTAGAACAAGGAAACTTGGGATTTTTATTTAATTTTTTTACCGATACGGTACGCAACTGAGATCCTTTATTGCTTTAATTCAATGTTCAGTCACTAATTCACATTGACGGCAGGCGATATTATTGTGACCCATTGTCTTCAGCTTCTTCTTATCCTGAAAGAGTGAGCAACGTTTATTTTTAAACTCTATTTCGATTTTGAGTTCTGAAAATGATACTATGAGATTATGTTTATTTGTAGTAGGATGAAGCAATATGGGTTCTATAGAGTCTGATTTACAGTCGTGAATGTTCATGTTGTGTGATGCATGAGAAGAATTCGTGGCTCCTCGGTTGTTCATGTATATTAAATGCATGTAGGTGGCCGATTGTGTTGGTTAGCTATTTCCCCGCTATTTTGTAATGTCTCGGCGCGTAACAAATTTGAATCGGACTCAGCCGTTCACTGGAATTTGTTTTGAGGCATAGATTGGAATTTTGACCACTGGTCTCATCTGGTGTGGTAATTGAGAAGTTATGTTAATTTTTTTATCATAGATATTGTATCAACAAAATAATTAAAAAAAATGCTAGCAATAATTTTATTAAAAATATGGAGAGAAAGGAGATGAAAGAGAAACAGAGAGGAACAGAGAGAGAGAGAGAGATTTGGTAGCTTGTAGAATGCTTCTTTAATCTCATAATGAGCCGTCAAATCTATAGAAATCATAACTATAAGATCGCAATGAACTATAATGTTTTAGACGAAAGCTGGCGCTAGACCACTTCATAACACTATGTCTGGATTATTTATCGGTAGTTACAGTGTTGAAGATACGGTGGCTAAGGCGTGGGGGGGGGGGGGTTAGCTTTCACGGCGAGCACAAAATCTTGACAAAAAAAAAAAAAAAAAATGAACAGGTTAAAGGGAAGGCGACGTGAAAAGAAGACGATGGGACCCCCACATCCTCAATTCATTCACCAACTACTCGGTGGCTTGGTTCATGGTACACATCTGATATTACAAAGTATGAATTATTTCATGAACAAAGAAGAGAGAGAGAGAGAGAGAGAGAGAGAAGAGAGAGAGAGAGAGAGAGAGAGAGAGAGAGAGAGAAGAAAATATTTGATAAATGTTAATAACCTTTTATTTACCACTTTAAAACGCTGGTATGTCTTTTTTCTTCATTCCTGCTCACTCCCTCACTTTCTCATTGATCCTGACACCAATCTATTGTCATTGCTTGCTTGTCAAAGTTTTAAAAAATACAAATTACAACAGTATAGTTACAGACCTCCACTGATACAAGATCCTCATATAATAATAATACAATCTAGGAGTTAAAAATGCACAATATGTCATAATACGTAAATATAACAAAATATTATGGGTTATGAAGCAGCACCATTACCTTTCACTTTTTGTTTATATGAGAAAATCTGTATCCAGTTGCTTAATTTATATTGAATTAATTAATTTGAATAGAAACTATGTTTATAAAAAGTATTACCGTAATTTTTCTATTTTTTTTCTTTTCCCAAATTGTAGAATTGTATCACAACTTGTATATTTGATTAAATATGTACTATTTTAGTTTGGATACTTTTGGATATTTTAAATATATGTCTGTGATTATAATGAATGAGAAAATGTGATATGTTTATACTGGAAGAGAAATTATGTTCCTCTTTGTAATTTTGTACATGAAAAACTGATTAAAGGCAAGAAAGCTTTGAAGAAATCGAGAGACGGACAGAGAGAGACAGAGAAAGAAAATATTTGATAAATAATAGAACTTTTTTTTCTTACTTGTTTGAGTTACTTTAAATATTTGTTGCTGAAAATTCATGTTTTTCTTTGATACCGATCCTGGAAATAATAATTACAATCACGATGCACTATAATTTTTAAGACTAAAGCCGCCGCGGCGCTAGCTAGACCACTTCAAAACACAGTAGCGAACGTTTGCTATACTTGCACAAAAAAGGGAGGTTATGTCCCCAGCCCCCCCCCCCCCCCCCACTTCGGGAACGGAGGGACAACATGCGTGTTCCCAAAATCTCTTGCTCGTAACAAAGAAAAAGATCTACCCATATTGACTGTATATACCGGACTTATGCTGAAAGGGGGGGGGGGGGGAGGTGCTGAAAAGGCTCCTATAACAAAAGAAAAAGATCTACGATCTACCCGTATTGACTTAACACACCGGACTTATGCTGAAAAGCGGGGGGAGGGGGGGGGGGGGTGTGCTGGGAAAACGTATATGCGTACCCTAAATAACACTGAGTGGGGGGGGGGGGGCGGGGTTATGTCTCACCATCCTGCACAAAAGAGACAGCAAGAACAACAACCAATAACAATTATCTATCTCCGTGTATCTCAACAATCTTTTTTCGTTTCTTTATTCACCCTAATTATTTTTATATTACTGACAAAAGGCTTCTGTTTTATTACTTCTTTCACTAAACAGTAAAATCCTGTAAATCATAGTCGTAATCGTGATATACTATAATGTTTTAAACTGAAGATGGCGCTAGACCACTTCGGAGGACATACTTCATGACCGAATCTCTTTGTTAACCCTAAAAGCCCCCCCCCCCCCCCCCCCCAAGATCTCGGCAACCGTAACTCCAATCGACTCCAAATGTGGCATGGTGATAGATGTTCATGATATCTACGATATTGCATAGTTAAAATATTTTATTTAATTACAATATGCTAATAAGCGCTCATCAATTATGCAAAAAAAAAAAATTGTTGTTGTTGTACTTTTCTTTATATATGGGGATTTTTTACGGAAAAAACTGTGTTCATGTTACAATATACATGCTAAGATAATATCAACACAATCTTTGATAACAAAATGGTGATTGATATGATAATTATCCAACTTATGCATAATAATGATGTCATATTAAATCATGAACACGTGTTTTTGTGATGATCTCATTATATATAAATGATGCATACATTATTTTCATTACTTTTTCTAACTGGTACTAATTAATGGTAACGTATAATATCCCTTACCCCCCACCAAGTAACGCAACAACAAATCCCAATAAAAGTAATCATCTAAAATCATTGTGGCGTGCGCCTGTAATCCAGCTAACAGTGGAAGTTACAAACTGATTCAGGCGAGGACGCAGGTTCGAAACTGATCGAGTCACGTCTTTCGGATGGTGACGTTTAAAGGTCGGTCCCCAGACGTAAATAATCATATCTGATTGATACACGTCTGTAAAAACCCAATACACACACACACACACACACACACATTCTCACATCAGGGCCTTTGTGGGGCACCTGATTGTGGGGTATTTCTGTGCGTTCCAGATATACCTTGTGGTCCCCTACTAGTGGGGTATGTACAACCTGGCGATAACAACCCGGCGGTGTGCTTACGATGTTACCATAAAAAAGTGTGCAAGTTTTAGCACACGCTCACAAAAAGTCATTTATGGGGTACCACTTCTAATGCCCCGCAGGGCATAGGACACCGAATATACAGTCATTTGAAAGACTTTACTCTGTGGGGTCCTGAAAAAATACCCCACAAAGTAAAAATGCCTCACAAGCAGGCGCGTACGCAGGATTTTTTCAAGGGGGGGGTTTTAACATTTATAAATCGGTCCGAAAATTTCGCAACGACTCAGCCGACCGCTGAATAAGCGGGGGGGGGGGGGGGGGTAAGAGGACACATTTTTTTTTTTTTTGGTCCCAAAAAAATCGCAACGACTCAGCCGACCGCTGAATAAGCGGGGGGGGGGGGGGGGGGGGGGGGGGGGGTAAGAGGACACATTTTTTTTTTTTTTGGTCCCAAAAAAATCGCAACGACTCAGCCGACCGCTGAATAAGCGGGGGGGGGGGAAGAGGACACATTTTT